AAGAGTGACTTGACGTGACGTTCTTATAGGGGAACAGGAGGATGTGTTTATGTCATGCAGCAGATCACTGAGTCTGAGGGTAAGGAGGACATGAGAGCGGATTCTCTACTGCCCAGCTCTTTGCCACCTGCCCCAGGTTAATGGCTGTCAAGGTCAGGCTGTCACTCTGGCTAACTTCACCATCCCTTGTGGATTTCTCTGTAGTCTGCCCATATCTTTGTAAGTGTGCCCTTATTAAACTCTTCTCAGACAAAACTTCTTTGAGTGTGCCATCTATTTGCCAAGGTCGCTGATTAATACAGGATCCTGGAGATTAGACCCAAGAGTTTTTTACACACACACTCACTGAAAAGAGACAAAGAGATAGAGAGAATGAGAGAAAGCACCCTCTGAGGAAATAGCCATGCTACGAACCCTTTTCCTCTCAGGATTCTGGGCACATACACATGCACACTAGCCTGGGGTGTTTCTCAGGCCCCCAGGTCTGAGACTCTTACCATGCTGCCAGTCACATAAGAGGGAACCCAGTGCCCCCTTCACCTCTGAGATGATGCTGTGTTTTAATTGACTGGCCCAATTAAGTGACCTTTTTAACCTCAAAAATTGAGGCCCAGGGACCAGCAGTTAGCGTAATGGCTATCTATGTCGCTGGACTCCCATGTAGTCGACCGTGGTTCACGTCCTGGACCCAGTGGCTTAAACTCACACCGGGCACGTGTGAGGGTGTGTGCCCAAGATCCCGAGAGGAGAATGGAGGAAAAAGGATTGTGGCATGGCCATCCCCCCTGGGGGGTGATTTCTCGCTTTCTGTCTATCTCTCTCTGTCTTTCTGGCGAGCGCACACGCCCTATAGCTAGAAACCTCTCCAAAAAAAAATTGAGGCCCAATATAGTCTCCAGAGCTAAAACCTGATTGAGATTCCTTCTTCACTAGCTACTGCTTCTGTGACCTTGACCAAATTGTCAAGTTTTCTGAGCCTCAGTTTCTTCACCTAAGGGAAGTTAAGAGAGGAATAAACAAAAGAATGTACAAATCGCCAGATGATGTGGCTGTTGCTTCAAAATCGGTGAGTTAGTTTCAATGATGGGCAGTCTCAAAGGTGCTGTCGGAGTGCAGAAGAAAGAGCTTGTACTACCCAGCACGAACAACACGGAGGGCACCTTGAGCATCATTGTTCTTGAAACACTCACCAGTCAGTCAAACAATATGGAGTTTCACTCATCCCCTCAACACACCTGGCCTCTGTCTATCCTGTTGGAGCCCACTCCTCCTTCTCTCTCTCTCTTTTTAAGAGGTTTTTGCCATAGGGTGCATGCACTCACGAGAGAGAGAGAGAGAGAGAGGCAGAGACAGTGAGAAATCACCCCACCCCCGCCCCCAGAGTAGGATAGCCATGCCACAATCCCTTCTCCTCCATTCTCCTCCTGGGATCTTGAGTATGCACGCATGCACACACACACACAGTATGATTTTCAAGTCACTGGGTCTGGGACTTGAACCATGGTCAACCATGTGGGAGTCCAGCGATGTAACCACTACTTCCATCTATTGCCCTCCTGCTCTTTTTTCTCTTCTTCCTCCTCTCTTTCACGCAGAGCAATATTCTCCCTTATCTAAAGTCTTGACAACACCTGCCGTGTAACTACCTACCAAAGCGTTCTTCTAAGCGGATTCCCTTCTCAAAAGAAATTCTGTTAGTGAGATTGTTACCACTTCATTCTACATATAGACTTGTTAGCAAATGGTTTTCCCATCCACAATTTCCTTTGAACCTCAGAGCCACCCCGTGGCAAGAATTACAATTATAGCCACTTATTTTGGGAGATACTGAAGCCCAGAAAACTGCTGAGGGTCATAGTTTGTAAGTGACTGAAGCAGGACTTTGGAAACTGAGACTCAAGGAGCTGAAGAAACTTACTCAAGATACTTGCAAGTGTGGCCCACATGGCAAGGTTCAAAGTTCACATCTGGGGATCTCCCTTAGTATACCAGGCATGCACACACCCATGATCTATGGATTGCCGAAGCTGGGAATGGATCATGGTATCGAGATCCCGTTGGGGGTATTCTCTCGCTCGCGCGCGCTCTCTCACTCTTTCTGTCTCTTTGGTGCATACGCACATGCAGGAAATAAACTTTTAAAAAAAGAAAAGCTCATACAGGTAGTAAGCAATGAGATAAGATTTGAACCTGTGTCTCCCTGATTCTAAGTTCCACCTTTGTTTCCCTATACCACAGGTCATTCTGGGCCCCAGCTTTTAAATGTGAACCCAACATCTACCTTCTCTGGATCCCACCTCACACGTCCATCAACTGGTTGATGATGTTCCCAATCTGGTGGGAGTGGAAAGTCTGAGAAGCCTTCATGCCGTTATCAATCTTCTTCCCAGGGCAGAGGTAAGAGGTCAGAGGCTCTTTACTCCAGCCCCATCCTCCACCTCTGAGATGATGCCACTTTTCACCTGGGGGTCAGCAGTCACGCCTCTTCACTTGTGTAAGAAGGGAGGCAACCAACTATGAAGAATGGCATCTCCCCACCCACAACTCATACCTAGCCCGAGGCAGACTGTTCATTAAGGGCAGGAGGGAGGGGGCGAGCCAAGATAGTGCAGAGATCCATCAAGACGCCAAGCTGACAGTTGCACACACCTGCTTCCAGCCAGAGGCGCTAGAGGCCATGGGCACCTGCCTCATGGAAGATGACTTTATCTGGGAAGGGAAGGGAGGATAGAAAGAAAGGGAAAAAAAAAAACACCAAGATCTGATCACTCTAATTATACAGCTCTAAATCACCAAGAAGCACCGTGGCTCAAACATCCAAGTGGTGGAGGATGGATTTTTACCTTGACTCCTGCTAATTTCCATTGATTTATGTGGCTCGAAAGCATTTATTTTGTACTCAGAGGTGGTTTGGCTCCTGCTAAGGAGGCACAGGATGCCCTAAACGCTCTCACTGTGGAGAGGCAAGAGGCAGAGGTGGATGTTGGGGCAAGGGCTAAGCTTCCTGCTCTGTTTCAGTTGCTGCCAGGAGGGTGTCCCCAGAGCCTGCCTGCGTCTGGTCACAGCTCCTTGGGTTTAACACTCCTGGCAGTTTAGCACTCTGATTTTTATGTGTGAGGCTATAATATTTGGTGAGCTGTGAGATGAGGTGGGAGCATTTGCAACTGGCACTTCCCTTCCGGGCCTGCCCCATGATTCGGGCCAGTGGTGTGACAAAGTGAGGCCGCCCCTCCCCCACACCCCAGCCCCCCACCTGTGGCTATCTGGCATGTGGTCCTTCTGTGTTTTCTCCTCTTCCCTCCATCTCATGTCTGCTAGACTCCCATAGCTCTTGGTTTTTGAAAGAAGGTATTCAGTCCTCACATTCCAAACCATCTGCTCAGTTAAACATTTTAAACAGCAATTTTGAGGCTGCCCAGGACCACATTCCAAAACGGGAGGTTGGGGAGAGGGCTGTGCATCAGGCGGAGCCTTTCTAAAAGTCATAGGCTCTGTAAAAACCTGATGAGGAAACCAGTGGGTCGATGAGCAAGGGCCAACTTTTTGAGGGGATTCGAAGCATAAGAAAATGTTGTCCGTACTTGAGAACTTTTTCTTCTGAGGCCCGTAACAAGTCACTTGGGTACTTTGGTCCATTTCTCCAGGTCTGTGGTCTTTGAGTCTTTCCTGCCCCTTCTGATGGCCTAGGATCAGAGTTCAGGTTCTTGCAGGTGCCTCAGCGCATCCTCCGTCCGTTCCCCTGTTGTCTTTCTACTGCCCCGTCTTCCCTCCCCTTGACTGTCTGGTTGTATCTCCACCCCCACCCAGTAACAGAGTAGGGCTTGTTACAGTGTGGCGGTACAGGGGTCAGAAAATGAAACAGATTACTTTGTAGGAGGGTAGTTTTGAGGATATATGAATGGGTAGCTTCTTGATATAATTATTACCAGCAGATAATTCTGAGCCACGTGCAGACTCACGTCCAGGTACAACAGGAGCAGTATACTATTTCTATGTATATAGGCACACACATATATATACACACACAGCCACATGTCCAGCAATTCAATTATTATACAAGAAAGGAAGAATGGATTTTAGGATAGTGTCATTACAGGAATCCACATGCAACCCAAACACTACCAAGTAGGGGACCTTTGTTCATTAATTATAAGCAGTTAGGTCAGACATTTTGTTAAGTGAGGAAATGAAAAAAGTGTGACCCTTGGAAGAAAGAAAGACATGGTGTGGATTCAAGTAATGGAGCACATCCCCCAGGGGCTTGGGAAGAGCCTCACTTGTTTGTTTTTCTGGACAGAGGACATAAGAGTAGTCAGCAGCAGATGAGAATGACTAGATCCAGAGCATTGCTTATGAAATTCTTTATATTTGAACAATGCTTTGTATTTTACAAGCACCATTTATAAATATTGTCTAATGAGCTAGTGAAAAATTACTTCCTGGGGCCAGCAGGTGGTATGGTGATTGGGGTGTTGAACTCCCACATGACTGATCACGGTTTGAGTCCTGGACCTGGTGGCTTGCTTTCTCACTTCCCCTCTCTCTCTCTCTCTGGTCAAATTTTAAAAATAAATAAATAATGATAACAAAATTAAATAAATCTTTAAAAAGAAATTCCTTCCTTGCTGAAAGCAAGGCTGAAGAGGTGAAGAATCTTGCATAAAATCACATAACTCAGGGCCTGCAGGTGGTATGGTGGTAAGGCACTGGACTCCCACGTGGTGACTGCGGTCCAAGTCTCAGATCTAGAGGCTTGCTTTCTCACTTCCCCACACTCTGGCCAAATTAAAATAATAATTAATTAATTAATTCTTGGGAAAAAAATCACAAAATTCCTAAGTTGCAAAGGTAGGCTCTAAGCCCGAGTATTCCAAGTTCTAGTCCAACGCTTTCTGCAAAGCTAAGTGCTGTCTGTTTGTTCACATCCTGGGATCATGACTAGTTGAACCTTCCATAGGGAATCAGAACTTTACTTTTTCATTGGACTTTATTTTTTCAGTCTCCGTGTGATTAGGATTCCATGACTAAGGCATCAAGAAGGACCGGTAGGTGGTGAAATAGTCTCATCACTGGATTCCCACATGGCTGACTGTGGTTCAAGTTCCGGACCCAGCAGCCCAAAATATACTGGGCATGTGTGCATGCATGCCCAATATCCTGAGAGGAGAATGAAGAAAGAATTGCAGTGTGGCCATCCCCCATGGGGGTGATTTCTCATTCTCTGTCTCTCTGTCTCTCTCTGTCTCTCCCGCAAGCTCATGAGCCCTATAACAAAAATATCTTTTTTAAAAAAAGACATCAAGAGTTATGTATACAATAATAATAATACCAGATAATATTTGTTGGTCATCTACTGTGGGCTAGGTGCTGAGGTGTGCACTTTGTAAGTATCTCATCTATTCCTTATAATGACCTGGCAAGGTAGACATCATTAGCCTATGTTGCAGAGAAGAAAGCTGAAGAGGTTGAGTAACTCTTTCCAGACCCACGACTAGTGATTGGTCTAGCCAAGACATGAGCCCAAGTTGATCTGCTATCTTTTCTCCCTGTGCTGCCTTGGAAGACAAAGGGCATCTGCTGCTTAGCCTCCAGTGAAGGACATGCAGGCAATGCTCGGTCATCTCAAAGCTGAGGCAGTAACTATTCAAAACCTACTGAATATCCTGGCCATTAAACCTACAGGGGCCAGACTGTGGCCTGGTGGTTGGGGCAGCAGGATCCCATGTCACTGACGAAACAGTGCTAGTCCCAGACCTAATGGCTTGAAGAACACACCAGGCGCGTGTGCTCGCATGCCCAAAATCCCAAAAGGAAGAAGAAATAGAGGAGAAAGGATTTCAGCATGACCATCCCCCACAATGGGTGCTTTCTCACTTTCTCTCTCTCCCTCTCCCTCTCTCTCTCTCTCTGCCTCTGTCTCTCTCCAGTGAACACATGCACCCTCTTGCAAACTGAAAACAAAGAAAAAGAAATTGGACCTACAGACAGGTCTTCACTGGCCACAACCCTCTGAAATCCACTGGGCTCTTGTCCATTGGGTTCTTAGATATTTATGGTGTCAGAACTGGAAGGAAACTTAAAGTTCCCCTTGTCTAATATGTCCCTTTTATAGAGAGTAAAACTGAGATCCAGAGGGAAACTGTAACTTGCCAGCAGTATCAGGACTAATCCCTAGCAAAAACTAACATGCTCTTTTGATTCTCTAAGCTCCAGACCCCTGGTGGCCTCTGGGACTAAGAGCTGGTCTCACCTGGCACCCATTAGAGTTTTCTTCACGTGAGCAACCAGAGGGGCAGACCTCACCTGGCTCTGCCTGCCACAGCTAGAGTTGTTCCTTCTCTCCTCAGTTCCCACCTAGCCAGGCGAGCTTGTGGTTTTTCCAAGGCAGGGCCAGCCTGTCCTGAGCTGCAAGATGTATTAATCAATTTGATGAGGATGTTAAAGCTTTCTCTTTGCAACTAATTATGGCCTGATTTATAGGCCTGGCCTTGGTTTGATAGAGCTCTCCTCATGACAGGGATGAATGTGGTACTGGCATGGACCCCTTCATCTCTTCTCTTTCTTTCTCTTCCTCCCTGCTCCCTCCTCCCGCCCTCCCACAGCTCCTGCCTCCTGACTCTGCTCTGGGTTCCCACAGGAACACCCTAATGACATGTTGACAAGCTGGTGAAGCATAGTTCCCTCTCTGTTGCATCTGCCTCTGGCACCACCATTCCTCCTGCATTCTCTGACATGGGCAGCGGGGTGCTGTGCTCAGTGAAGCTCCCTATACCCTTTCCTTCTGGAAACAGAGAAGAATAAAAATAATTGGGGGTGACTCAGTATCTTCCTTCCCAAACACTCCAAGAGCTTGATGAAATAAATGTTATCCCTAATCAGACTGGAGATGGCTGGATGTGTCAGGTAAAGTTTATCCTAATAGGTTATTTTACAGATGAGAAAACTAAGGCAGGAGATGGACCTGTCTGTAATTCACAAACAGCAGGACGATAAAAGGGAGAGTAAATTGTTGCTCTGACTTCCAGCCCCAAGGTCTCCCATTGCTGGTCTTCCCATGCTGGGGTCCTCGGGTCAGCTGTGCACTAACCCTAGGAACTCCTTCCTCTGGGTCTGCTTCCTTGTACCTGCACAACTTGAAAGGAAAACCCTCACATATGGGCTGGTTTCCTAACCTTGGGTAAGAGGGTCTTCGTGGCCCCAGGATGCAAATAGGAATGTGGAATAAGATGCAGAGCATCAGTTGGCATGAGGGTATGTGTGTGTGTGTGTGTGTGTGTGTGTGTGTGTGTGTGTGTGCGCGTGTGCGTGTACATGTACGTGTGCTCCAGCCAGTTTCCAGCCCTCTGCGTCACACGCAGAGCAGAGATAAGGAACGACTGCAAATGGTCATCTTTCTTAGATTCAAAGTTTATTTTTTGTTTTGTTGTATTTTTTAAAAGAATTATTTATTTAGAAGCCAGAAGGTGGCATGGTGGTTAAAGCGCTGGACTCCCACATGGTGGACCATGGTTTGAGTCTCAGACCCAGCACCTTAAAAGTCACACGAAGAGCATGTGTGTGCATGATCAAAATCCCAAGAGAAGAATGGAGGGAAAAGGATTGCAGCATGGCCATCCCGCCAGGGAGTGGGGGTAATTTCTCATTTTCTCACTCTCTGTCTCTGTCTCCAGCGAGCACATGTGCCCTCTTCAAAAATCTCTCTCTAAAAAGAAATAAGTCAGGACCAGCAGGTGGCATAATGGTTACATCTCTGGACTCCCACATGGCCAACTACGGTTTGAGTCCCAGACCCAGAGGCTTAAAACTCACACCATATGTGTGTGCATGCATGCCCAAGATCCCAAGAGGAGAAGGGATTGTGCTGTGGTCATCCCCCATGGGGAGGGGGATGATTTCTCACTTCCGTCTCTCGGAAGAGTCCACACACCCTATAGCAAAAATTTCTCTTTAAAAATATTAATAAATATATAAAATAATTGTAATTTTTAATTTGGTATAGAGTACACGAGCTGACCACAGAGAAGAAGGGAAAGTGAGAAAGCAAGCCACCAGGTCTGGGACTCGAACCATAGTTGACCATGTGGGAATCCAGAGCCTTAACTACCCCTCCACCTGCTGGCCCTTCAGCACCCCTCAGCAGCTGTTATGAAGTCACTGTAAACTCAGCAGGGTTCTGTGGGAAGTTCCCTGGTGTGGGCTACTCCTCATATTCAGTCGTGAGGCACTAAGGCCACTTCCCAGTAGTGCTAATGGAGGGACACAGCAGCGTGGCAGCCCATGTCTCTTCCTGTTTAGACCTGAAGTTCATCGTAATATTTCTGCAATACCTTTGTCCGTGACGGTGCTAACGGAAGCCTCACCAAAATACAAACTCTATACCTAGCCCATGCTTGAATCTAAGTCTTAATCTTATGCTTTATCCTAAATCTAAGGTGTTTCCCAACTCTCAACTACCCCTAACCTTGAACCCAGCTCAAAACCTAAATATAACCTGATCAGGCCAGCTCATGGCTCCTGGTTGTGACAGTTGGACCCCACATGTCAAATGCTGAGGTTCAAGTCCTGGACCCAGTGGCTTGAAAATATGCCGGGCGTGTGTGCATGCCCAAAATCCTGAGAGGAGAAATGGAGAAGGGATCGCAGCATGGTCATCCCCCAGCGAGTGATTTTTCACTTTTCCTCTGTCTCTCTCTCTCTCTGGAGAGCACACGAGTCCTAAAGCACAAAACAATTTTGGGGAGGGAATGGTTATGGTTTTGTTTAGAAACAAATAAAACGTGCACACAAGCTATCTCCTCATTTTCTTCGCTGCACAGACTGGCGTTGGGATCAGTGACTCCGAGGCCAGCTGGACTGCTCTTTCCTCCTTGCGGTTCTTGGAGGAAGCATTTGTGCGATCTCAGCACAGTAAGACTTATTGCACATCAGCAGCACTTCCGGTGGACCGGGAGCTTCTGGAAGCCGCTGGGCAGCATGCACTTTGTTTACTCGTGGCTCCCATTACCGACGTTGGGCACCAAGATCTGGCCCTTGAATCTCCTCCTCACCCTGTTGTCCATTCCTCTGGGTCTCTGCCAGTCACATTTAATTTTGACATATGGGTCTGACTGCTGCTGGATGAACTTCTTAGTCCTCTTTTTAACCATCCTGTGATTCATGAGGGGTCTGAGGGTGCCCGTGATGCTGGGTAGGAGTTGGCTGCCACCCCCAAGCAAAACTTTCTTAAAAAGTGAAATTAAAGGGAAAAAAGGTAAAAGAAAGAAGTGAACAGTGAAGGAAGTATAAAGAACAAAGGGTACATGGGGGTAGGCCTAGTTGGGAGTCATGAAGTTAGTGAATCTTGGAATCCTCATATGATGGGCAAACCATACTTGTTTTTTATTTTTTGTTGTTTTTTTTTTTTTCCCCCAAGAGATTTTTGCTATAGGGGATGTACACTCACCAGGGAGAAAGTGCTAAATCAACCCCCATGGGGGATGGCCACACCGCAATCCCTTCTTGTCCATTCTTTTCTCAGGATTTTGGGCACGTACGCACATGCACCCAGCGTGAGTTTCAAACCACCAGGTCCAGGACTTGTGCCATAGTCAGCCATGTGGTAGTCTAGCACCTTAACCACTACCCCACCTGCTGGCCCCCAAACCAGACTTTTGGAGCTCACATGTAGAGGAAAGAGCACTGGACCAGGGTCAGAAGACCGACATGTGGATCTCATCTTGGATGCAGATTTCAGACAAATCATCATCCACAATCTCCTTCCAGAGAATAAGAGAGCTGGGCCAGAACTCAAAGTCCTTCTTACCATCACTTTCTAGAATATGTGACTTCTCCAATCAAAACCACACTGTGCACATCTTTTTCTAATTCTGTCCTCCCTCTGCATGTCTCAGCCAGCCTGGCCCTCCCTGCTGGGCACTTATTTTTTAGTTCCATTGGATTTGAGCTGGTGGAGAGAAATCCCTGGTGTCCCCGATTGGATACAAGCCTCTGAAGGATGAAGATGTTCTAGAACTCCAGCTTTTGGAGCCTCCAGCAGAATGCTTCTCTGGCTACCAAGGACCCATGGGGTCCCCAGGCAGGGATGTTAATCCTGTCACATGACCTCCCATGTGTTTTCTAAGAGCTGCCTCTCCTTGCCTCCCACCCCTGCCTGTTTCCAGGCTCAGGGATGCCAGCCAGGATCGTGGGCAACTGGGAGTCCTCCACAGCCGCCGGTTTACCCCCAGGAGTCAGACGCCCTCCAACCGCGAGGACCTTAGCTGTGCTGAGCAGATGAAAAGCTGCCTCCTCAGTGCAGTGAATTCCCTCAGACCCAGAGCAGCTGCTCCTCAGTCTCCCAAAACAAAAATCCTCATGAATAAATATTAGGGAAGAAATGAGGTTTCCCAGGAACAAAAGCAGCGTCGAGGAAGCTATCTGAGAGAGATTGGGATCTTTCATCCCATGAAATATGTCATCTGTGTGTCGCCCCTGACTCTCCTTGCCAACTCCCCTCTGTTCCACTGATCCGGAGCCACATCCGGCTTCTCCCTGCCTTGGAAGCAGGCAGCACCTAGAGGTTCATCAGCTCAGACTTCCCTTCAGAGGAGAAGGGAAACCACAAACAGCTGCCGCCTCCCCCAGCCCTCCTGCCAGATTCGAGGCTCCAGCTCAGACCCGGGATCTTGATGATCTCATCAGTATCTGAGCTGGGACTCACTTCTCCGGAGACAGACAGGCTGCCAGCACCCCTGCAGAATCCCTGGAAAAAGAAGAGGCTGCCATGAAGGGAGGTGTGGGGGGAGACCTCAGCCCAGGCCACATGTGGAGAGGTGAACCCAGCTATTCACCCCAGGGCAGAACCCTGAAGCAGCCCCTTCTTGGCTGGTTGGCAGCTTAGGGTGAGACCCTTCCCCTTACCCCTTTAAAACCCCTGCACTCTACCCCTTCAAAACCCCTTGGTTGTTGAAGCAAAAGGCTTTCCTCTTTCGCTTTCATCTGGATCCAAGCTGACATGCAAGTAACCTTCAGAAAAAATGTGCCTGTGTGTGAATGAATCTGTCACAAGCTATGCACAGCAGTTTTGCTAAATGGGAAGATGGGAGAGCCAATGGACTGGCAAGCCAATGGAGTTACCACTCACTCCGCAAGTCAGTAGCAGACGCTAGAACTCAGGTCTCCGGACTCTGCCAGCTGCAGAAAAGGGAAGCTCAAGACCTGAAAGATAAACTTTACCTGCTTCACCAGTTTTCCAGGAGCTAATCCATTACACCTTTGGGATACTTAGTTCCACACAGAGAAAATCTCTGTCCTGAGCAGCTCCTGTGGACAAAAAGAAGCGTGTGTGAAAAGGGAGATGGAATGAAGACCTTCCTGCACAAAGACTCAGAAAGAAAGAAAAGTTTGCAACAGACTTTGTAAACAATGTTACATCTCAACTTAGAGGCTGTTGGCTTTCACCTCTCTTTTTTTTTTTTTTTTTTTTTTGAGAGGTTTTTCGCTTTA